TGTGTATATAATGTCAAAACTCAACATATGCAATAAAACCGGCAATTGTATATGCTATTCTTAATATTTCTGTGGATCAGTATGATATAACTGATGTAGATTGGTAATTAACTTACATTGATCTTTCATTACATGGTGTTTTAAATTTGGCATCAACGCGTATTGGCTTTTATGCCATGCCTATGGGTGAAGATATTAACATTATACAACAAAATATTGGATGCTATGTTTGATCAGAAATCGCATTTTTACTGGCAGGATTTTGAAGATTTCAGCATGCGATTATGGACTTTACATCTTCAACTTCTTTCAGCATTAAATAAACCAGTAACAATAAAAGAGCTCTTTAGAGATGCATCTGGTCTTAATTATTCACGTTGTAAATTTCAGCTTCCTAGTGTAGATTCAATACAATACAAGGAACTTAAATTTAGGTATTCTGACACAGTACAGGATTTACACTTTTAACTGGCACGGTATATAAGAATTATGCGAGTGCCTCATGGGATCTCTTTATCCTGGTGATGCCATTCAAGTCAAATCTTCAGATGTCACGCAAATCTTAGATGAGAAGATATTGAAGATTGAATATGATAAAGTGGAAAAAGCATTCAATACGTTGCAGAATTCATTCGAAGAAGAATTTCCCATTAAAAACTGGGTCCTTTTTATATGTACAAATGGATCAAGGACGGCAAATTCTTTTGAATTCGTTACAAAAAAACTGTTTCGTGATAGATTGTAAAAACTTCAAGGATTTCTACGGGTATAAATTTTCCAGCAGCGCTGAATTTTCCGCAGATATAGATTTATAACTTGTGTTTTAAGATATCTTTATATCCTTATGTAACCTTTTATGTTTGTCTGCATAGCTAGTGACATGATAGATGTCAATACTGCTGAGGATTACGAATTGAAAACAATCAATGGAATGGAAGAGGAAACCGCAAAGGAAATACATATGTTGATGTGAATGATCTATATAAGGTGAACATAAAATTAGAAACAGGAAAAAGGATTAAGGTCGTAGAAATGATATAATCAGTAGCAATTAATAATATTTATAATAACAATAATAATAAGAATAATAAATAAACCAGTAATATATTGATATTTTTACTCGAGAATTAAGCGAATAAATTGAATTAACTTTTTCATCCTAATATTCTCTTGTACATTTATTAGCAAATTTAATTCTCTAGAAAAATTTGTTGAACAAATTAATACGAGTTATGGCATTTGAATTTAGCCATTTAAAAAGATGAAATTACATGTTTCGACAGACTTTTGTCCCATTGCGAATCGCTAACTCCGGATGTTATACGCATAAAGTTAAAAAATATAGAACAGAGGAAACATTGGAGTGATAATCATTGGGAAAACTAATCGATTATTGAAAACAACGAAATTTCCAAAACTCGCGCCAAGTCTAATAATAAAATTCACATTCAGTTAATCTGCGAATCATTGGGACAGAGAACTTTCTCTCCTCTTTAGAAGGGACAAAAACAGAAGATAATAATAATTATAATTTATAATACGATAAAGCAAATTAATATTTTTATGATGAGGAATATTTAACTATTTTCTTTATTATACGCATAGAACAATTTTTTGTCATTCCAATTTTCTGCTATTACATCAACTCTGAATATAAAGAATATTCTATAATGAACTTTAAAAACATCAGACTAGATTTATGTGGTCTTTTTGTTATAACCAATACCGACACTACTTAATAGTAAGGTATAATTACACTCACTCTTATCATTATTGTTATAATTATGCGAAGATTTTAATGTTTCTTGTTCTTGTTGTATACGAGTTTCTTGTTCTTGTTGTATATGAGTTTCTTGTTTAATCTTAAATGTAACACTAAAGAATTCTTTAATATCACGTAGATATTGAATCTTATAAAAAAAAGGATTACTAGCATTCAAACAGTTACATACAACTAACCTAACTGATTATAATAACACTCACGTAAAAACACTCAACTTCCCAAATTCTCATTTTAGAAACATTTCCGAGCATAAGATCATCAACAACAGCGCCAACCACTGAGAAATGGAGTCCCATTTCGTATTTCTGCGAGTAACTGCTTCGCGGTTCTGTTTCCGATATTTTCAGGCGTTTCACTGGGGTTAGCTGCTCTTTCGGCAGAAAATAAAACACCAGTCGTAGTCTCTGATACTAGGGAGAGTGAATCCGGGAGATCTAATTAAAGCAATTATTATTTAGTTACTATGTATTACCAAATTATAATTAATTTCAACTCGCTTTCCAGATTCAAATATCTCTTTAATATGGCACGAGCTGAATTCAACATTCTGTTTGCTGTTTGTGGTGGTGCTAAACGTGTTGAAATGCTAACTACATGTAATTGGTTATTTGAGATGAAAAATACCTACGCGATTCTACGTATCCACTTTCATCAAAAAATTCTGGTTTAGTGCACGAATATGAACATTTGAAGTTTATTTCACCGCCACCCAGAGGAGATGCTTCAGGCATTCTCCTATGTTGAAAAACTCATTGAGAAATTGACATCACCAAGTTCTTCATCGGTTAACATCACATTACAAACTTATCTCGATTTAGCAAACCACACAATGCCATTACTAAAGAGAGCAGAACTGAGATCACAAATTAAAAAATCATTAGATATCACCGTCTCAATAAAATGTATAATATATAAAATAAGGACCGCTTTTAAATATAATAATAATAGTTTCCCGGGATAAACGATAATACTTTTGAAATATTCATCCAAATTACAAACAGATTAGAATTGAGGATTTCATTTTACTGCAAAATGGCAAAAGAAATAATAGAGGTGTCAGAAAAATAAATTATTGATAATCCAAACCTTTTTAACAAATATTCCGACACTAATAAACCCGAATGCATAGATGTCAGATTCATGAAGTTCCGAACACGCAAAATTACAAATCATAGCATTCTGGAGCGAAATCTTAGTGATTGTATTTTAGTCTTTTTAATAGATAATTATACAATTTATTAAAAATCAAAAGTTTAGAAGCATAAAAGCAAACTTAAAATCTTAGAAATTATAAAAAGAAAATTTTTTATAAAATGAGGAGCCTCGTATGAGAGGTTCAATATTCAATAAACATGTGTTGACTTTCATACATAGTTTCAAATTCATGTGACATGTAACAATGTCACAGTCTTTCGAATCATAGTATACATCCACTAGAATATCAAAATCCGCGGGAATTGGAGCGTGTCCTTGTACAGTCAATAAAATAGATTAGAACCGACAAATTCGTTAACTTGACCAAAGCCCCGAAAAGAAAGACGGAGAGAATTTGTTTGGATCATCAGTCAAAGATCTATTCAAATTATTCGGGTCACTTTCTGTATTTGTTGCGATTAACAAATTCATTATAGCTGGTGGTTCATCGATTGGCGTATTTCTACTACTTTCCTTATTGATCACAGATGCTCCTAGCGTTCCTACAAAATGACTGTAAAAAAAATAAGCAAATGTCATCATTACCAATAAGGTTAAAATCTCCCGGAGTCGAGTCGAACTCGGGCGTGCCACCGAGCCGAACACGGGTAAGCTTCTTCTCATGTATCCTATTCACCAACTCCATATGAGATAGACAGTAGAAGGACGTTCAAAGGAGGTTACTCGACCCACAACCTCACAGTGGCCACGATGCGCTTCCAGTTCGCTGCTATCTTCATACTTCTGATGGCAGCGTAACTTCAGATACATATGGTTAGACAAATAACTTAATGAAACAAACAT